TAGTATGGTGGTGGTGGAGAACTGTAAACATATGGTGGAGGAGGAGACTTGTATACAACCTTAGGGGATGGTGAGTAGTATGGTGGTGGTGGGGAGCTGTAAACATACGGTGGTGGTGGAGATTTGTAGTCCACCTTAGGGGATGGCGAATAGTATGGTGGTGGTGGAGAACTATAGACATACGGTGGAGGAGGAGATTTGTAGTCTACCTTAGGAGATGGTGAATAGTATGGTGGTGGCGGCGAACTGTAGACATACAGTGGTGGAGGAGATTTGTACTCTACTTTAGGAGATGGTGAGTAGTATGGTGGTGGTGGAGAACTGTAGACATACGGTGGTGGAGGAGACTTGTAGTCTACCTTTGGGGATGGGGAGTAGTATGGTGGTGGTGGAGAACTGTAAACATATGGTGGTGGAGGAGATTTGTACTCTACTTTAGGAGATGGTGAGTAGTATGGTGGTGGTGGAGAACTGTAGACATACGGTGGTGGAGGAGACTTGTAGTCTACCTTTGGAGATGGGGAGTAGTATGGTGGTGGTGGGGAGCTGTAAACATATGGTGGTGGAGGAGACTTGTATTCGACGGGGGATGGAGTGTAATATGGCGGTGGTGGTGGGGAACTGTAAACATAGGGTGGTGGAGGAGATTTATAGTCAACTTTAGGCGCTGGAGAGTAATATGGTGGTGGTGGAGAAGTGTAAACATCTGGTAGTGGAGGAGATTTGTATTCTACCTTAGGAAGTGGTACAAAATATGGTGGTGGTGATGAGCTATCCGTGTATGGCTCATATGCAGCAACCATTGTTGCCATGAAGATAACTCCTATAGCGTAAACGAGATGGGCAGAAGGCCCCATTCTAGAAGAAGATATCATCAGGTAAGTTTTTCTTGTTTTGGTTTGTATTTTAAAGAATAGGTGCATGGGTTTATATAGCAAAGCTTTTCTCTAATTCCAGCTATACTTTCCATCCAACTAAGTCGTGGAAGCATGTCTACACGTTACTAGTTGGAGACGACGTGCAAGAACGTTGACGAGCCACTTTCCATTTTATATTTAGCATACATCAACTTTAATTTTATATATTTATGGATGTATTATTTTGGTCAACGGGATAGTTTACTTTTGTTTTTAACTTTTTTGGGTCACTTCATATAAATTTTTAGATTTTTCTGGATCTTGAATATTTTATAATCGATATTTTCAAATAAAATGTAATCGATTTAAATGCTTATAAATATGTATTTATAGCTATATCTTAGAGAGTGTTTCAAGACCCAACCTGATGTACCCCTTAGTCTAGAGGTTTTCGAATGGCATTCGGGAGAGAACTATATAAAATGTTCTGATCTCTGGTTTGAGGGGATGTACGAGTGTAGGTCCAGAAATTTTTAGTTATTAAAAAAAAAAGAGACACCCCCTAATCCTGCGCAAAATAACTCAATATTCGAAGCGAAGCAACCTGAAAATTACTCGAATTGAACTCAAACCGATTAAAAAAAATACATGAATGGTCCTAGACCTTTGTAACTGAAGAACCTGAACCGAACCCGATACTCGTAGGTACCCAAAAATATCTGAAATACAAGTATATATCTAAAAATATTAGTTATACAGTACTTATATGTATAATAACCCAAATACCCAAAATTATAATTATGAACCCGAATATATTAGATATTTTTTTAGTAATTCAGGTATATTCGGGTACATATGGGTAAAAGTAACAAATGTTTTAATTTTTTTTGAGTATTTTTGGATTCATTTGAGTAAATAGTAATCGAACACGATCCAAACCCAAAAGTATGTCAGGTATTTTTCGTTTCTCAACACAAATACTCAAACCGACCTGAACCCAAAAAATACGGATTGAACCCAAACCGAATTTTAGAGATGCTTAAATGGGTCTCAACCAATATATATGATACTCGAATGGAACAAATCCAAACTTGAACAGGAACCTGAAGGCCCAAGCCTAGTAGCCCTAGTAAAAAAAAACAGGAACCAAGGAACCGATCAGAACCGACAAAATACATGAGCGGGACCTAAACCTCTAAACCCAGACAATCGGAACCAAATCTGGACCAAACCGAGAAGCAAATGGGTACCTGAAATACCCGGCATATAAAGATATTATTTTTTTTTGGTCAAAATTTTATTTTTTAATTTTTTTATTATTATTTTTTTTTTTTAATTTGTAACAAGACAAATACCGAGCATTACAATTATAAACCCCTTTTTGGGTATCTTACATACTTTTGGATAATTTGGGTAGATTTGGATAATACAATTGTAATTTTCCGGGTATATCGTGTACCTTTGAGTAATTTGGGTAGATTTAGGTATATTTGGGTAATAAAATTACAAATTTAAAGTATTTTGTGTAATTTCAGGTAATTATGGTAGTTTTGGGTAGATTAAGGTAAGAAAATAAACAACCCGAACACTATCCAGAAAGTTTTTGGTACTTTACCGATTTTCAATATACACACCCTAACAAACCTGAACCCGAAAAGAATGGTACCAAAACCGAAGCAAAAATAACAGAGTGTAGCAAAACTAGGTTTATGACCGTTTTCGTACTTCAGAAGTTTGAATTTTCGCGCACCACATTTGATGATGTTGGAGTCATTGGAAAGCTAAAGAGTCATCTTTGACCTCCAAATAGAATTAGACCAACCCAACTAGCCAGTCAAAAATTATGCCCAATTTAGTAAAAAATGTCTTGTAGACAAATCTTGCCGCGCTGAGAAGAACCACCACCGTAGTAAAAGACCTAACCAATGCGTCCAGCCATCCTGATGGCACGGAAAAACACCTTTTCACCGCTTCTCCAGAACCCGTAGGCGTTGCCAAGCTTTCCGTCATTTCCTTTGATCATGTGTGAGTGATTCATTTCTTGGGCTTAAGGGTTTTCGAAAGGGGATTCATGAATTACTAAATTAGATTGTTAGATATGGGTTTATACGCTTATAGGTCTTCATCTAGATTTATATTTGCTTCTTATTGCTTGATTGATCATCTAGCTACTGCTCTTAGGTAGATTTACTTTTTTGAAACCTTGATAAATCACATAAACTAGTTTAGATGAGCAAAATGTCATAACCTGGTAAAGTTGAGTTAAAAAGCTTTGTGAACACATCGAATTTGAACTGTTCATTTATGTTTAACATCTTAATTACCAGCCGAAGAAGAGTAATTTAGGAGGTTTAGATATAATAATTGGTGCAATGGTAGTAGGCCAATTTTCTAATCGAAATTCGAGTTCGTGAACATAAATAATCGGAATTCTCTATTTGATTTCATTGTATAAATTGATTTATAATAATCGTGATTTATAATACCGCAATACTTCGTTTCTTGATATTAACATCGTTTAATTTTCTCTTTTGGTTCATTTGAAAAAAATCAAAAACAAACTCATTTATTTTTTTCTTAGTTACTTTGTTCTAGCAAATTCATACCATATCTTATTATTACTACATATGATTAGTTGTGCACTTGGATCATCTTTGATGGAAAAGGATTGGAAATATCCGTCAACCGATGTGGACTATTAAGAATCTAGATTCAAATGAGAAATGTCGCTTCCAGAAATGTGTGTGCCAATCTCTTTAAGAACTAGAATTTTTTTATTTCGATCATTTGGAATCCCCTCGACCAATTTTCAAATTCTCTCGATCATCTTGAGAAAACTATGACAAATCATTGAACATATTCAGATTCTATCAAGTAAAGTCATGTTTTACCGAGACTTTATCCTCTAGCTTCACCATAGAGCATGCGAAGACGGACGTTATATGTATCCTATGGATGATTCAAGTCATTCATAGGGAACGATAGAAAGAGTTTTCCTCGAGAAAACCCATTTCTGACGTCATCTTCGATGAGCGAATGATTTGTCTTTCTGTCCACATGTTCCAATCATTATTGGTGACTAATAACTCATCCCAGAAAAACAACCAATCATTCAAATATATTATAATTGCAAATACATGTGTTTAAAATTAAACATGACAGGAATGATAATGCATTCGACAATTATTAAGAAAACAATGTATTTTCTTCTTGAATTTAAAACTCAATTACAAGAAAATAACTAACCTGTTAAAAAATAAATAATGTGTCAAAACAACTTATTAATAGAAGATAGATAACATGTCAGAGCAACTTATTACCAAAAAAAAAAATCACACGTTAAAAATTGAAATACACTAAATAAAAAAAATCTATTGACATCGAATTTACAAATATTTATTTTATTACCTAAAAGCAGAGGTTGATTTTTCATTTTTTAACCTTCTTTTTTTTTGTCGTCTAGATTTATTATTAATTGCAAATTATGAGAACTGTTACATAGACGATTCTACAACTGACAATTCCTTCACGACAGACTACACTTCCTTCTTCATGATCTTGATGAATACCTTCAATGATCCACGACCTGGCGGCACTTCCTTCTCTGCGTAGAATCCTGGCGAACGGCTATAATTGTACATCGTTGGAGATCTCCTGCACACTTGCCTCCATTAATCTGCAAATTTGATAATAAATCGCAATATCTGGGATTCGAACCCCAGACCTCTTGGTGTAGAAGCATTAATCAACCCTTGGTCAACCAATGTACCAAGGGGGCTTCCACTCATTTTTTAACCTTCTAAGTTAGATTTTATTTTATTAATGAAATTTTTTTTTTAAATATAAATACTTTATATCAAAAACTATCGGAACAGTGAATGTTAATATTGATCCTCTCATCCACATGCGAAGTGTCTGCAAAATATTTGGCTATTTAATTCATATCTTCATTGTTAAAGTTGAGGTAGCCTTACTGCATTTTTAGAATTGCAGTATTTGAATTCCAACCAAAATTTGTTCTAATGCTTCAGCCTTTTTATAGGAATTAATTTTTTTTTTCTCTTGAAATAGGCTTAATAAAATACATATTGCATAAATAAAACAACATTTTATTATATGGACAGAGTTAGAATAGATGCAGACGGACCTGAAATGTTGTCTTATTAAGAGAAAGCAACTACTATTTCATCATTTGGATAATCTTGATCCGGCATTAATACGAAGAGGAAGAATGGACAACCATATTGAGATGTCTTATTGTAGGTTTGAAGCTTTTAAGGTTTTGGCTAAGAACTACTTAGAGATTGAGTCACATGACATGTATGGAGAAATCAAGCGGTTGGTGGAGGAAACGGACATGTCTCCAGCTGATGTTGCTGAGAATTTGATGCCTAAATCAGATGAAGACGATGCAGATATTTGCCTTAGGCGGTTGGTTATGTCTTTGGAGGAAGAGAAGGAGAAAGCAAGGAAGTTGGCTGAGGAAGAAAAGAAGAAGAAAGAAGAGAGGGATGCAAGGAGGAAGAAGAAGAAAGCAGAGGAAGAACACAAAAAGAAGAAGGAAACAGAGGAAAACGGCGACGTTTTTCGCGATAATGGTAACCTTATTTGAGCAAAGATCTTTATCAGAAAAAGAAGAAGGAAAAAAGATTGGAGCGTAGATGTGATGAATTAATATTTGAGTCTACTCTTTCTTTAGGTTTTGTTTTGTCTAATAAATTTTAAATGCAATAAAATAAGTTTGTTGGTTCCTAAGTAATTGTTCTTATCATAGCTCCGTACCAATTCGCTGAATACCCATAAGACTATGTGCAATGCTAATTTATTCAACACCTTCTTTTTCATTTTATAACTTTTCACATCATTTTCTATCTCTTCCACCTAATAATTCAACATTTTTCTATTCCAAATCAAATGAAACAAGTATCTATTTATAGAAAAAATATATATAATGAATTATGATATAAAAAAATATAAATTAATAAATTAATTTAGTATATAATAATTGATATTAAATAGTTAAGGTAAGATTAAAAATTTCAATATCCAATAAAAAAAGAACATGTGTTATTTGTGGTCCCACAATTTTTATTTCAACATATTGAATACTTTCAACGTAGTTAAATCCACGTAAGGTTTTTTTCATTTTCAACACCTTCATTGCAAGGATTCAACTGTTGAATTATTTATTCAACACCTCTATTGCACATAGTATAAGGCGTTTTATAGTATGTTGTACCGAACGTGATCGGTAAGTGAAGAAAAGTTGACATCTTTGAAGTGTTAGCTGCTTTTCAAATGTTAGCTGCTTTTCAAATGTTAGACATAAAGCAAACAACTGTCTTAAGATATAGAGGGAATTTTATTAAATGCCAGCCAGATTCTATAAAATTAAACTTATTTGATATAAATTTGAAACTCACTATAAGTAGTCCTCTTTTGTAGCCACATTTTATCATCACTACTCTCTTTTTGCATATCTTTTAAGTTTTTCTTTTTTTTTACGTAACAAACTCTATAAAAAAAAAAAAGAGAAAGCTTAAAAATTTAATTAACCAGAAATGAAGATGCTCGTGGTTGTACAATTCTTCAAAATCTCTCTTCTACTCACTTCATCATTTTTTGTACTTTCAAGCGCTGATTCAAGAGTCGTTAACGGATGTTATAAGTTTTTTTAGCGACTGATGATAGCATGTCTATTTTGGCCTGGTCAACGAATTCTCATGTATCAAATGTTAGTCAACGTTTAGTTCATGTTTTAAATGGCCATATATAAAGTTGATGTTTAAAATGGCTACAATTTGAAAGTTGACTAACAGAGTCGTTAACGGAGGATAACGGGCGTTAGACGTTCCATTAATTACTGATAACGGCATGTCTATTTTGGCCTGGTCAACGAATTTTCATGTCTCAAACGTTAGTCAACGTTTAGTTCATGTTTTAAATGGCCACATATGAAGTTGGTGTCTCAAATGACCACAATTTGAAAGTTGGGGGATTAAATGACATTTTTCCCTTATTATAAGTTCGATATTGATGATACATGTTTTGATCAAAGTTAATATTTTTAATCTATCTTCTCTAAAGTTTTAACCTCTTCATGGTAAACGATCTATTCTTCTTAATTTGATTTTCTTCTACATTTTTTTTTTATAAAAGTGATGTGATTGATTTGTCTAATGAGTTTGGGACGAGACCTAAACGATACATATTATTAATAAAGAAAAATCATATCTAGATAAAAAAAAAATAGCATTCCTTTCTTGTCTCTTACCTTTTAGAATCTACATAAAAATTTGTGTATAATTATTAAGATTTGTATCTTAACATTTAGAACAAAAAAAATGGAAAGAATCATAAAGCAAACAACTGTCTTAAGATATAGAGGGAATTTTATTAAATCCCAGCCAGATTTTATAAAATAAAACTTAATTTGTATCTAAAAATTTCTGTCATACAGTCTGATTGGATATTATTTACACAGTAATTCCTTTTCACGAATTTGTTATAAGCTAATAGCATAGTTGATATTTTCTTAATATAAACATATAAATTGGATGTTTTTAGTCCATGTTTACTATCTTGTTAATCTAAAGTATATAACAATTTGAACAAATTTATAAACAAATTGTGTGTCGTAAATCGTAATATCAGGATGTTGAAGAAAAAAAACGAAAAATGGTATAAGTTGTCATGTAACTCGAAATAAATATGCACTATAAGAAACAATTTTTACAATTCAATAGTGCTCCAATACTGGTTACAAAAAGATATTTCAATACTGTATGTGAAACTTTTTTTTTTTTCTTTATGTAAATATTAGTTTCTGAAAATAGTATATTGACATAACAAGTATGAAATCTTTATTTGTAATTTTTTCTTTAAATTGGACAACAATAACAAACATTTCACTTCAAATTCTCACTATAAAAAGTCCTCTTTTGTAGCCACATTTTATCATCACTACACTCTTTTCGCATAAAAGTTTTTTTTTTTTTGTTTTTTACGTAACAAACTCTATCAAAAAAGAGAAAGCTTAAAAATTTAACCAGAAATGAAGAAGCTCGTGGTTGTACAATTCTTCATAATCTCTCTTCTACTCACATCATCATTTTTTGTATTTTCAAACGCTGATTCGTGTAAGTGTATACTTAATCTAGTTAGTTGTTTTTAGGTTATTTATCATTTGAAACTAGTTTTCTGAAATTTTATTTGTGATGACGATAAATGAATTAGCAGCATGCGGTGGAAAGTGCGATGTGAGATGCTCAAAGGCAGATAGACAACATGAGGAGTGCCTTAAGGACTGCAATATATGTTGCGAGAAGTGTAATAATTGTGTTCCTTCGGGCACTTATGGAAACAAAGATGAATGTCCTTGCTACCGTGATTTGAAAAACTCTAAGGGCGAATCCAAGTGTCCTTGAACACGCTTTGAAGATCCTCATCGCATACATAACATCTATGAATGAGAAGATCCTCATCGCATACATAACATCTATGAATGAGAATATCACATTTATGTTTGATGTATGAAATAAATTTTGTGAGCCTAATGAAAAAATTGTTTTTCTTTAATCCGATTCCTAAACACATCAAGACTAAATCATGTCAAGTTTTATATATCTCAGCTTCAATTTCACTAAAACCAACAACTTAGGATACTATGAATCATAATCCAAAATCTACAAGGGGTATTAGGATTAACCGATTAAGCGAATAAAGTAAAGTAAACCACTATCTTTGTGTTGACAACTTTCACATTCAGCGAGTAACCATTGGTTCCTGGTCTCAGCTCATTAACATTGGTGAACACAGGGCTTTCTCAAAGCAGGCTTTGCCTCAGCCATTTGATAAGAACCCTACAAATTAACCATAAAGAAGAACATTTGCTGTGATCTGCACTAACAACAATTCAATTTTGCAATCAACAACAACAATTTCCATTATCTGATTAGACTATCAAAACCTCAAATGCGATCAAACACCAAATAATCTTAGCCTATGACGTGTTACCTTCAACATGTTTGATATTTTTCAGCCTTATTAAAATGGATTTGACATTAGGTTAATCACTCATGTAGGGTTATGCTGGGAAAAGTTACTTTCGGAGTCTATGGATAATAAACAACAAGAAGCAAGAAAACAGTTTCTCATGGACAAGTGCAGTGAAACAAACGGATGACCAATGTTGTGTTGGCCCAGTTGTAAATCTCCGAGGTGGAGGTACTGGATTCGATGCCCGTTGGGAGGGATCTCTTCTCCGAAGGAGATGAATTTAACCTGGTGTGGATCCCGCCTCTGGGAGATGTAGGGCCTTTGGGCTTGAACTTCCAAATATTCAAAAAAAAAAAAAAAAACAACGGATGAATCTGCCTGGTTTTTTCGCAGACTATGGTATTTTTCTGGCCAAAGCATTGAAAATTTCACCAGACATCGCTCTTGTGAAGAACATACACTAAAGGTAAGCATCCTCAATACATTTGTCTACGGCTTCAAAATAGTAGATGAATGATCATTTCTAAGTGTTTTGAACACGCAGGTCAATCGTTTTGAACTGAAATTCTGCATGTTGACTCTTGTTGTTGAACATCCTATTGCTCCTCTCTCGCCCAATTGCGTGGGCTGCTACTTGACGGAGAGTGATTACGGATTTGTTTTGTCCATAAGAACGGAGTCATAAAGGGAAGATTTCCCAGCTTGAGAACCCCATAAAGTGAAAACCGAGCCCGTGACCTTCTTATGTATGTCGCAAATAAACAAATACTTATTCCGTGACCTTCTTAAATAGATACACCAAAGAGGAAAAAAGAAACTTAAAGATCTTCGTGCGATTATAGATTCGACATTGTGTTTGATCGTGGTTTCATTCTTGTTAGCATGATCATTGATTCATTGAAGCTTGACTGAGGTTTGCCGCAAGTGCAGGTGTTGTGAAGAAATAGGCTTCGAGAATTAACTTACCGTTATTTTTATCTTCAAGAGTTAATGTAATACAAAAGAATGGTAGACTACAAGAACTGTTCTTCATTTAAAATTTTAGGAATGCGTCGTAATTGCTTTTCGTTTGAGTGTATTTTGAATCTATACCAGACTTAGGTCAATGAGTAGGTAGGAAATCAAAACCTCCTTAAGTTAAAAAAAACTTGAGGATCTTACAAGTTGAAAATGTAGTGAATTAAAATGATCTATGCAATTTATGTATGGAATTCATATACAAGACCCATGTAAAGGATATGTTATCCAATAATACAAGGTCAATGATACAAACTGCAGAATTTAATTTTGCAAAGGACTTCATATAGATTGCAAGCAACCTTTACATAAAGAAAAGAAAAAGCATGAAACCATGAAAACATTTTGTAGCAAAATGTTTAATCCAATAGCAAGAAAATTAAAAATTTATTAGATATGAATAGCATCAAGAACAAAAGCAAATATGAAATGAAATAAAACTTGGTAGCTTATATAAGAATCTCATTACAATTTCGAGTAATACGAAGGTGGAGATAAAGCTTAGTATTCAGTATTTGGAGAAGGTGAGTACGATGGTGGTGGTGGAGAACTGTAGACGTACGGTGGTGGAGGAGATTTGTAGTCTACCTTAGGGGCAGGTGAGTAGTATGGTGGTGGTGGTGAGCTGTAGACGTACGGTGGTGGAGGAGATTTGTAGTCTACCTTAGGGGCAGGTGAGTAGTATGGTGGTGGTGGTGAGCTGTAGACGTACGGTGGT